AACAGAAGGAACACAGACACCAGCAACAGAGTAGGTTTATTCTACTGTCTATGTCAAGGTAATACAGGAATAAAGTAATGCATTTAGCTAAAACAATAAACTTATGATACTCCAGTTTTAAGCAGCAAAGCAAATAGAGTAATGCATCATTACTACATCAAGTTAATTCTAGTGATTAAGAAAGATACATCACCAGTTGCCCTTATACTTGACCACCATCCAGATCCAGAATTGCTGGACAGCCCCAGTTGCAGGGAGGATATGGACAACCTTTCCGAGCAATTGGCAGGTCCTACACAGTGCATCCACTCATAGGTGAAGTCTTCAAAGTCACTGCAAAAGGGTCCAGCTTATGTATAGTTGAATAAACATCTTGCAAAACTTCACGTGCAGAAACAGTTGGTGTTACCCTCCCTGTTGGATTCTGGCCAAAGCCTGGCCAAGACTTAAGAAGAAGCCCAAGGGAGTATCTCTATTTCAGGTTTCATCATGTATTTCCCAACAAAGCCGGACATCCGATTTCAGGGCCTTGTAATATGCCTCTAAATAAAGAGGTAACATTCTGCTAGTTACTATTACATAATAAGCATTACAACAAAGCTTTTATAGACTGACATCAAAATATATATATTCATACTAAAAAAATATATTACATATGCAATTAATACTATGCATATAGAAAGACATATTACTGGGTTGTGAGGTTCATCTACAGGTCAACTTTGGTTAGAGCCTACTGTTCAGGCTTCAGTACTTCAATACTTCATATACCTGTTAAAAATTCCCCTTGCGTTCAGTGAAATATTCACATCAAATGTCTCGGCACTTCTCAGTGGGTGAGGGTTGAGCCTCAAGAAGTGGGGAGTCTTCGATCAAGGCCTCACCATCAGCTTTTGGGGACAGTCCTTTGAATATCTCAAACTTGAGAGTTCACAACCTCTGAGAGGCCTCCCACTTAGAGGGAGATGTAGGTCGCAGCCCAATGTGGTCCAGGAGAGCACAAAGGGCCTCACTTAGGACCACTGCATACAGGGTGGAAAGATGACTGGCTTCAGTCATCAGTATGTTTCCATCCTGGCCACAACCTGAGTCAGTAATTACTAGAAACTGTTTAGAACTCCAGTAACAGTGGTACTGTTCCACTCGGGCTATGATTAAGGGAAGGAACATTATGAGGCTGTCAGGATGACTGATTATTCCTGCTCACTTCCAGCCTTGGCCAGGCAACAGGAATTTCTGGTATAGTCAATGCTGTCTTCCACCTTAGCCATGCAAGTGTTCCTTGCACAGTCAAGAGACACTTCACTGCCCAACCCATTACAGAAAGGCCAATGAATTCCTGAGATCAGAGTGGCCCAGAGGATGGGGGGTGGGGAAATATACCAGCATACACCTTATACTCAGAGGTGACTAAGAGAACACAACAAGTCCCTTTTAACCGCTTTTCATCACAAAAAGAGGGGGGAAGCTGGGAAACAGTGTTCTGTATAATTTTTGTAAACAAAAATATTCTACTACCAAAACACTTTTGCCTGCTGGCTTTTAAAAAGCCAGTGTTTGAAGGCCAGTCTCCTGCAGATCATAATATTTTACTGATCTACAATTATTGTTGTTGAAGAGTGGTAGGAAGTGAAAAAGCATTTGTGCTTTAAGTAGAAAACAGAACCAAAATGGCAAAATAAAAGTTCTTCTAAAAACCTGGCAGACCAATGACCTGGAGAAACAGTTTAAACGATAAATGGTTTTAGATACTATTAAGCAGGAAATCAAAACACTCCAACAACAGACTTCATTTTGGTTCAAAGAAATCACTCCACAGTAAGCATTGTAAAGTAAAGCACAAACCGCTATTGGCGCCGGAGTAACGTGGGGGTTCAAAACTCCGTACACATGTCCAAAGAACAGTGAATCTTAGGAGTTCTTTTATACCTACTTTTCATCTTGATATCATTTTATCTAAAGCATACACTCATACAATTCAGTAAGTTACATAACTTGCGGTTTTCTTATCCTATTGTGCACTTGGGTTAGGGCTACAAGGATAGTCTATGGGTTAGTATTAATCAGGATTCTTACAGCTGTCTACTTTTTAGCTTAGTATTACTGATTAAATGCAAATACCTGCAAGCTACATGCTTGGTTCTTTGTTCAAATTCTCATCCTATTTTGCTTTTAGGGATGTCCCTGCTTATAAGCAACTTCTAGAAGCAGATGAAAGAATGCCTACATACCCAAGATCTACCTTAGTGTATATCATGCCCTAACAGGAGGGCAGGTCCTTACTTGCACATGGGTTTCTATTAAGCGGTTGTGTTTTTAAGTGCCAAGTCATACTCATGCTAAATAGCAAAGTTATGTTAAGCAGGGCCTAACGGTTTGGTCTCAATATGAAGCATGTTGTAATGCTTTGGGATTTGGGTTTGGGTTTGTTTGTTTGTTTGTTTTGGTTTTTTTTCTGCCAAAACATCAGACAATATATTATTTCCTGAAAACAAACAAAAAAAAAAAATACTGTTTAAGATGCACGAAGCAGGCTTCATCCTTTAACTCTTAAGCACCTTACTGCAGTGAGTTAATGAAGAGTGAACCAGCAGTTCCTGATAAACACCTTCAGAGTGATCTCAGCACACTGGCTAAGGCTTTGCTTCCAGACCCAGGGAAACTTTTATACTGGCACAGCTATTGAGAGTAACAGATTTAATTTTGTGGATAATAACATAAAAGTGATCATTAACACAAGTCTGCTTTCTCTGCCAAGAACATCCACCTTAACTGTTTTGGGACACTGGCTGGTTAATTCAAGGAAATAGGGAGATAAGAGCCCAGTGAGGAACTTTTGATGTTAGCGACAAGTTTTACTCCCATCATTATCAGATGCAAGAGCTAGAAAACATTTACCAAGAGTCAAAATGAACTGGGTTTGTTTTGTTCTACTTGTAAATCGTCCCAGGAGGCTAGTTATGAGCCAGGAAAGGCCCAACATTACCACAGAGCTCCTAGAAAGAGTTGAAACAACCTCATAACTTCTAGGAAAACAACCTCCAGCATTCCCATGGGCTTCTGAAGGATATCCAGTGCTTCAGGGGAAAACCCACTAACGTCCTACCTGATGCCCTTCTATTTCCCAGAGCACATAAAGAGAGCTGACAAAGAAGTATTGATGGGGTACTTGACTTTTTTGCCTCACATTTCCATCTGCCTTTGCAGATGGAATAAGCTAAGCAATGCTTTCAACCGCACTATTCAAGACAACACCCCCCCCCCCAAAAAAAAAAAACCCAGCAACCTATACCTCTAAAACAATTTTATTTTCCCGTTAGTTATACAAATAGGCTTATCAGTTCAACCACAACACTCGACTGCAGGTGGCCCTCTTACACAAGGCCGAGCACCGGCTCCTCACCGCTTACCTTGCCATGACTACCTGAAAGGCTGAAGCAAAAATCACAGAAAGCACCGGACTCCCAGCGCAAGAGCTTAAAACACAGGAGACGCGAAACAACGAGCGCACAACCCTCAAAGCGTTACTTTTCTTGGGTCTTTAATAACATCTTTCAGTCTTATCGCCTTCAATCGCCATACAGTAAAGACAATCAACTTCTGCTTAAAGTGGTAAGGGCGGGAGGTGCTTCTGAAGACAAACGGCTCAGCACTCAACCGCACCCGCGGATCTCATTGTGTTTCCTCAGCTACTCACACGACGCTTAAGCGCCGTTAATTCACTCTCCGAGACGAGCAGCGAACTCACAACCTGCCAGCACCCGCTCCGCACCAGCTCCCGCTGCCCATGCCCCTCGCCTGTCAGGACGGTACCGCCATGCTGCGGGCTTCAGGGCCGCCTCCATCGCCGCTTCCCTCGGTCCAACAGCGAGGAGCCGGAGAAGGCCTCACGGGCCCAGCGCAAGGTAATTGCCGCACCACCCGCCCCGAGCCCCGCCAGAGGAGCGACGCGGCCCTTACCGGCGGCCCGAGGAGCGACTCTCCACAGCGGTGGGGTCCCCGGCCCCGACAGCGGAAGAGAACACGGGCCCACCGTAGGTCCTCCGCTGGCCCCCCCCACCCTCTTCCACTACCCACTGCCAGTCCTCACCAAGCCTGGATGGTCGCTCCGCGCGCTGAGGCGGAGCCAAGAAGCAGTGGCTCCGCTGAAAGACGGAAGGAGCCCTCTGCCAGCAGCGGGATGAGCAACAAGGCCCACCCCCAGGCGGAGCCCTCGGTATGGCTTGAGGGGTAGGATCGCTGGTTCAAGCCGTACTGGCCAGCTGGGCCGTGAGGGGCCTGAGGCGGGCGGGCAGGCCGGCCGTGCTAGCGTAGCCGAGAAGCGGTAGGAAGGCAGCGGTGTGCGGTTCAGGCGCTGGCCGGTGCCGCCTGGAAGGGCAAGCAGCAGCAGCAGCTTGCCTGTGTTTTCACCGTGCCGCTGGCAGGGAGCTGTGCCGCGCGGTCACGTTGTGCTTTCGGTTTCTCCAATCGCTGCAGAGCGAGCTCCTCCTCCCGCCTCCTCAGGGCCCCAGGGTGCTCCCGGAGACCCCCGGGTTCTAAGGAAAACATGGTGATTCCTTCACCCACCGCCAAAGGCTGAAGACCAGCTGGGACTTAAAAGGGAGCCTGCAGTCAGAGGAACTGGGGACTGATAAATGTAAAGGCTCTGTAGTGAAAAATAGGTAGATGTGAGAAACTATAGACTAGGGTATTGTTTATTAAGATTTATGTTAAGCCCAATGTAAAGGTTAGGCAACAAAAGATATGAAATCGCTTATGCAAACAGCCACCAGACGCAGCTTGCACAAGATAAGATAACCGCAGTCGCTTACACCAACTAAACCAGATACCGCTTCTGCAAACATAACAGATGCTGTTTAAAGATAACTGCAAGATGTTCCAGGAACTGGCAGAAATAAGAAAAACAGCTCCATATAAGGACATATGAGTAGAGGGGTCAACTATGGGACAAAAGAGGAAGACTTCTTACTTCGGCCTCAATGACCACCAGGAGGCAGAAGTCGACCCCTAGCATCAGCTGAAGCATGCGCAGAGTACCTCCACTACTTCATGAAAACGGAAGTAAAGATGTATAAAAAGGGACTGTTTGAACTGCTCAGCACGGCAGTTGGCGGAGCGCAGACTCCCCTGTCATCCAGCGCTGTTTTTGCTCATATCCTACTTGCTATAATTAATAAAATTTTAATTAGATTATGATCCGTTGTGGTCTCAATTTATAACAGTAGATAAATAAATTAAGGTTGTATATTTAACGTGCAAATAAAATACATGTAAGCAATGCAGTACTTAAATTTCACATTACAAAGTTAACAGAAGGCTGTGATCTGTTTAAAAGGTTTAGGTTTAAAACAACTGACAAGCCTATACTAAACAGATCTTAAGTATCCTGAGTAACAGTGAGGAAAACAAAGCTCTTTATGTAACTGTAGTGAGGGAAAGTGATTTTTACTAAGCTTCCTACATGAGTTGACAGCTCACTCAATTGACTAGAGCCAGGCCAATGAATCAAATCAGTTTATTGAGCAAGCGACAGCAAGCAAAACAGCGCTGGGCGGCCAGGGAGTCTCTGCTCCGCCAACAGGACACACCCCTTTTCCCCAAAGTCACTGGTTTTATACTCTTCTTCATCCAGTGTACGTGCTACTCTTGGTGTATTCTGCGTTTGTGTGGCCCGTTGATAAGGGGTCTCATTCGGCCTCCCAGTGGGTGTGGGGAGGAAGGCTCTTCATCTTCTTTTCCATACCTAGTTTACTTTAACAGATGCTCACAGTCTATAAGCCAAATTTCAACATGTCGAAATTTTCCAGTAACCTTTAAGCAAGTCAAGTAACTCTTAAACAAACAATTAACTTTTAAGCAAACAAGATTTGATTAACAAACAGGAATTCACTCATCACAATCCCACCTTTTTCTGTTTACCGTTTTGTTCATCAAATCTTTGGAGTTTCGCGCGGCTTAAAATTAAAGCAACTTCTACTGCAGATTCCTGATTTAGTGACTCATATTTAGCCCTCATGAGCATCGAGTGGGCTGCCTCTAGTCTATCTTTCACAATTGCAATCACTTTGTTAAACACACAGGGGCCAAAAGTTAGTCCCAGAATTAACAATATTAAGGGCCCTGCAATGGTAGATAGTAATGTAGTCAACCATGGAGAGTAATTAAACCATGACTCATACCAATTTTGTTGGTCTTCTCGCTCCTTTTTTCTCTTTTTTAGTCCTTCTCGTAACTTGGTCATGGTATCCCTTACAATTCCCGTGTGGTCAGCATACACACAACATTCTTCCTTAAGTGCGGCGCAAAGCGCTCCTTGTTGTAGGAGTATTAGGTCTAATCCTTTTCAATTCTGTAACACTACTTCATATAATGGCCGCACAGATTTCTCTAGGGCACTTGTAGATTGCTCGATTCTGACTAAATCCTCATCTACAGCCATTCTCAAGGTGTGAAATTCTTTGCTTTGTTTTATTAATGAGGCTGTTCCTGTACCTACTCCTGTATCTCCCAAAATCATCAAAGTGGCTATTGTTAATGCAGTGAAAGGTTCTTGTTTAATCAAGTGATGGTCCTGGGCAGTATGGTGGTCATACATATAATTTTCAGGATGGTAAAGAATTCTTGGTATTATCATTACCTGGATACAAAAATCTAAGGAATCATTAAACAATTCTAGTGACAGGCAAGGTGTTACACCTATTGTTTGAGCAAACCCACTTGGTGTTTTTGGCTGGTAGTAACCACTTAGCCGTTTTTTTCTGTTTAGTAGTAATTGTATGAACTTCACATAGATGTTCTTGATGTTATGGAGCTTTTCCTATACATCTGCCCTTTCCAGTGATTTGAGTCAGTGTTATTCCTTGATTTTCCTTTCCCCGTGTGCATTCTGCTGGGTTAGAACCATTTACATGCCTAACCTTCATAGTAACTCCCACTGCTTCATAAAAAGGAGGCTTTACCCCATAACCCAGCCAACAATGTTTGGTTAGGCTGGGATTGGTGGCATTTAACAACTGGTAACTGGCTTCCATTAATTTCCAAAGAAAGTTGTCTTCATTATTGTCCTTAGGATTTTGAGTGGCATTCAATACAAGAGTCATAGAGTTATTGGAAATTATTGTGTCATTTTTAACCTCCACTTCATTTATTTTAGGAATTTTCTTTGAATTTTTTTTTGCTAATACGTTGTTAAGTCCTATGGGTTCAGGATCTTGTGGGATTGGTTCCTTCTTTATTAAAATGAGGCCCCCTGTATCGTCTCCTGGTTCCTTGTATCGTACCCCCCAAGTTTTCCCTGTTATCCACCCTTGGACGTAAGGGTCCTTTATATTAATTATAAGATGCCAACAATTTTGCAGTTTGACTCTCCCATAGGGAGTAAATGCTAATCCGCTATTCCAGTTCTTTTCCGGAGGGGTACGTTCATGTGGCCCCCATTGTACTTTTAAAAACCTGTCCGGCTGTCTAGGGGTCCAGTCTGAGGCTATTGTTTCACATCCCCAGTAGGCACAATAATATTGCCTCAGGTGATTGCAATATCCTTTTCCTGGATTCAAACTTGGGCAGAAGTAAAATCCCACACGATCTAAACACAGGTCTCTAGGCACTAGTTGGCAGGGGCTAGCAGTAAAAGCGGGCTTCCCTGATGTGATTACACTTTGGACTGCTTGTTGATCTTCCCATCTGTATAAGGTTCACTTGAAAGTTTGATGGATATGTCCTTCTACCGGGATTAACATCCCTCCCCATATCCAATAGATGATCCAGAAAATTGGTGGGTTACCTCCTCTCATTAATCCGAATTTCGAATTCTTCCCTCGAAATTTCATCGGGGTTTCACTATCCACCTGGCCTATCCACTTAATTCGCACCTCTCTTCTTCCTAACTTTTTGGTGGCTATGGTTCCTTTATATCCCCACCTTAGTATGCCTCTGCCTCCATCGCCTACTCCGTTGCCTGGAACAGCGAGGTTGTTTTTCTTCTCGGCAGCAGTCGCAGTCTTCAGGGGTTCGGCCATAGTTGAATCTTCATTTATTTATTTATTTATTTATTTATTTATTTATTTATTAGGGCTGTCGGGTATAGATTCCCCTTGTTCCAATTGTCCCCCTTTTAAATATAGGTAGCCACCCTTAAAGGTGCTTATGAGCCCACCAATTTTCTGATTCTCAACAGTTAATTTCTATTCCTGGTTTTCCTTTGTTTCCACCCAAATCAAATTTTGCAAATTTCAATTATCTGATTCAAATTACTTCTGGTTATAGTTTTCACATTTAATTAGGACCCAAGCGGTATTACTACCCTTCCTGTAGAGGTTTCATATATTCCTTTTTAACAGGACTCATTAGTCAAATCTAAGTATATAACATTTTATAGGGTTCCTCACAACGTTTCTGAACCTTCCCACAGCCACGTTTTATTATATTTTATGTCCCTTTCTTTAAGGCGATCTTAAGGTCCCCAGGTTGGCTGGTCACTCTCCACTGTGTATCTTGAATCGGTCCTTTGACGCGTGTCACGAGTCAATCCACGTTCGGCCGTATGAATCGCTGTTTCTGTTGTGAGTAAAACAAGAAATGGTCCCTCCCATCGAGGAGTTAGAGATACCTCTTTCCATGTTTTAATTAATACCTCCTGGTTTAATGGAGTGTATGAATATATTTAGAGGTGGTCTTTGGGCTATCATACCCTGTTTACGCAATTCCTCCCTTCTCTGCATTAAATGTACGATGTAAGGTTTAAGTTGTCCATCTTTTACCTTCGAGTGTTCGGCTGGGAGTTCCATATCATATGGCATTCCATATAACATTTCAAAGGGTGATATCCCTACATCAGTTCTTGGCTGAGTTCTTACATTCAGTAATGCTAGAGGTAAGCTCTTTACCCAGGAAGTTTTAGTTTCTAACATAATTTTTGTTAACTGTTTTTTAATTTCCCCATTCATTCTTTCCACTCGTCCAGAGCTTTGCGGATGCCACGGGGTATCTGCCACTTTGTTCCCATAGGAGCTAACGCTTCCCTAATTGTTTTGGAAATGAAATGAGGACCCCTATCGGAGTCAATGGCTTCTATAGTCCCATACCTTGGGATTATATTTTCCAGTAATATTTTCACTACACTTTTGGCTGTGGCTCTAGCAGTAGGGAATGCTTCTACATAGTGTGTCAAATGGTCTACTATTACTAATAAATATCTATATCTCCCTACCTTAGGCAGTTCAGTAAAATCTACCTGTATTCTAGGGAAAGGACGGGTCGCCAATTCCCACCCTCCAGGTATTTGCCTCTGGAGGTGTTGTTTATTCATACGTTGGCAAGTCAAGCAACCTTCTATCACCTGTTTCGCAACGTTATGAACTCCAGTACACATATATTTTAGGGCAAACTGATCTATTGAGGCTTGGGTTCCCCAGTGTGTGGCCCTATGAAATTCTTCCATAATTTTCCAAGCCAAAGTTTTCAGTAGTACTATTCTACCATCTGGTAATTTCCACTCTCCTTGATTTTTTTTTACTCCCATCTGTTTAAGTTTTTCTTGTTCTTGAGTGGTGAACACTACTGTTTGAGGTTCTCTATTCTTGGGCTGCTGATCTTGTAGATCTTTTCTTGGATGGACTATAGATACTGTTAAGAGCGCTGCCCATTTTGCTTCTGTGTCTGCTAAATTGTTTCCTCTTATTATGGGAGATAATCCCTTTTGATGTTCTTTTACATGTACTACAGATATTTTTCTTGGTTTTCTTAAAGCCTGGAGAGTTTGAGTAATGAGTGCTTCATGTATAAGCCCTTTTCCTTGTGAATTTATTAATCCTCTCTCCTCCCATATTTTTCCAAAAGTATGTACTACTCCAAAAGCATATTTTGAATCTGTATATATGGTTCCAACTTTACCTCTTAATAATTGTAAAGCCTTTAATACTGCATATAATTCACATGCCTGAGCAGACCAACTGGGGCTTAGGGGTCCCGACTCTATTACTTTGAATTCCTTCCCATTAACTATTGCATATTCTGATTTTCGTTTCCCTTCAACTATTCGGGAAGATCCATCTACAAACAGCTTCTCTCCTTCCCCTAACTCCTCTTCTTCTAAGTCTGGTCTAATTTTTGCCTGTTCCTCAATGTTATGCAGGCAATCATGAGTTAAATTTTCACTTGGCTTCCCATATAAGAATTGTGCTGGATTTTGTAGG